AAACCTGGGTGAGGTCCCTGAGAATCTGATCCATGCCAGTGTGAAGGCCCTCTGGCTGGAAATGCTTGCAACTGCTGGAGGGTCCTGCTCTCCCTGTGTCTCCAGTCCATCTTCTTCCCTAGGGAGGCTGTTCTAGATCCCCTCAGAGCTCTGGACCCCAGAGCAGCGGTTTAGACACCAGCCCCAAACCCACCCTGGCTGGTCCCCTAAGGGAGGTCTCCTGGCCTAAGAGTTCCCACATTCTTACTATCAAAGGCGATGCCCGCGTTGTTGACCAGCACGTCCAATCCCCCGTACTCCTCGCGCAGGAAGTCGCGCATGGCGCGGATGCTCTGCAGGTCGTCGATGTCCAGCAGGTGGAAGCGGGGGCTCAATCCTTCGGCCTGGAGCCGCTGCACTGCCGCCCGTCCCCGCGCCTCATCCCGTGCCGTAAGCACCACATCCCCGAAGAACTGCCGGCACAGGTCGCGCACGATGGCGAAGCCGATGCCCTTATTGGCCCCGGTCACCAGCGCTACGCGGATGTGTGACGACATGACTGTGTGGATTGCTAGGGAGGCCCTGTGTGTGGAGCCGATGATGCTATGGGCCACACCGAGGGCTAGTGGTGCGGAGGCCTGGCCACAGTCAGAGATGCCGGTAGAACTGTGTTCTTGGATCCAGCGCTGTGACTCCTAGAGCCGAAGCCCCACCCCTGTCCTTCCATGAGAGGAGGGGCCAGAGGGCCAGAAGTTTTCCTGAGGGCGCTGTGTCAAATCCGTACTTCATGGGGCTGCACCTTGAGCCCAACCAGGACTGTGTCCTCTTAGGATGCTACCTGTGAGCCAAGCGATGGTTTGAGGTCAACTGATGTGCTCCCCAAACTAAGGTGGTTGGCCCTGGGGTTAATAGGGGGCTAGTGATTCATGGTAGGCGAGTCAAAATTATTTTCGGAAACCCTCAAAAGTAAAAAAGGAGTACAGATATTGTCTTGGGAATGTGTCCTTCCTCTGCAGAATGGGAAAGGTTGCTTTCTTCCAAGATGCAGTGAAGTTGCTTGCACAGGGGAACTGCCTCTGAGGACACAGTCCCTTTACTTTTTTCGGAGAATCTCAATAGTGAGGAACAGAGAATTAGGTCCTGTGCTGTGATGGGGGTGTGGACAGGGCTCCTCCCTCTGTGTGATTTTCAGTGGGTCCTGGGTGGGAGGGAATGTTTATGAAGCTCACTGCGGCCAACAAATTGTTTGGAATGTTTGATTTAATGGTTACATTAGCCCCTTTTTCCTGAAATCCCTACTTTTTGGTTCTGTTTAAGGTTACAGTTAATGTGTTATATATAAATAGGTGTTATTTTCAAAGTATCAAGGGGCTCTGTGGTGGGAAGCCATTGGCCCCAGTCAAGGTGAGTTTCTTTATCGGCTGTCCCTCTAGCCTTACTGGGCAAGAAATCACTTGAGGAACAGGATCCTCAGCATAAAATTTTTTTTTTTTTTTAAAGATTTTTTTTTTTTCAACGTTTATTTATTTTTGGGACAGAGAGAGACAGAGCATGAACGGGGGAGGGGCAGAGAGAGAGGGAGACACAGAATCGGAAACAGGCTCCAGGCTCTGAGCCATCAGCCCAGAGCCTGACACGGGGCTCGAACTCACGGACCGCGAGATCGTGACCTGGCTGAAGCCGGACGCTTAACCGACTGCGCCACCCAGGCGCCCCTCAGCATAAAATATTTGAGGACCCTGAGTAGTGAGAAGAACCATTAGGCTGGAAGCTGCATGAACTTGGTCTACATCAGGCTGTGCATGGGACCTTGAGATCTGTTTTTCCTTCATGTTCTTGATGGGGACAATATACAAAATGCCTAGCACATCAAATGTAGTAATGTCCATACACCCCACCTTTCTAGAACTATAATATGTCAGAGTGTGGGTGTGTGAGGGAGGTGCCTTTACTGTGGTAATTCTCCCCTGCCAGCTGATTCCTCTAGTGATTTTCCAGACTATTGGACATTGAAAAGCAGTACCTCAAATCAAGGTTGATAACACCTTCTTTAAGGTTTACATAGTGTGTGTGCCTTAACAAGACTGTTTTGCTGCTAGAACTTTTATAACTACTGTATGATGAACAAGAGTGTTCAGATTTCACAGGTGTGCTTGATTCCTCAGAATGGTCATTCCATAATATATTTTGGAAATAAATGCATATTATAATTTAATGAGAAAAAAGAAGAATAGCAGCTAATGAGCATTAAAGAGAATATTTTCCAAAATCAGGAAGAGGAATTCTGGGGGAATGAGAGGGAAAAGACATGGAATGTGGGAAGGGGTTTCCATGGCCCTGACATTGATTGATGGGTTAAGATAGGGGGTGGGCTCCTGGTCGCTGTAGATTCTTATATCTTCTGTGGCTAGATTATTTCAGAAACACTGTTTTTACAGAAAGCATTAAAAAGTAAGGAGAAGTTGGGCACCTGGGTGGCTCAGTCGGTTAAATGTCCAAATCTTGATTTCGGTTCAGGTCACGATCTCATGATTCATCAGTTTCAGCTCCACATTAGATCTGGGCTGACATTGCAAAACTTGCTTGGGATTCTATCTCCCTCTCTCTGCCCTTCCCTTGCTCTCTCTCTCTCTCTCTCTCTCTCTCAAAATAAATAAAAAAGTAAGAATAAATTTCTTTTAAAAAGAAAGAAATTTACATTTTTTTTACATTAAAAAAAGGGGTTTTTTTTTTACATTTTTTTAAAAAAAGTAAGAAGAAGAAATCCACATCTATTATCCTTTGGTATCCTATCCATAAGGTCATCCTACTCTGATATTCTCCTTCCAAGGTAAACAACAAGGTAAACATTGACTTTTTGGATGTGTTCTGCCCCCACAGAGATCTGGTGCAAAACATTCAAGATGTTTTTTGTATCTAAGGTTCTGAAGTATGGGGGAGGATGGACAGTATTTCCTTTGACTGCCCTAGCTAGGACTTCTCCCAGATAGTCTCCCCGAAGAGGGTAATGTCCTGATAACATGAACCACTGTGGCTGCCATCCCCCCAAATAATGGAAGAACTCTGCTATTTCCAAAGGCAAGAAAACCCTGCTCTTATGCTGAGAATATAGCTTGCATTTCCATGTCCCTGAGTCTAGTTTTCCTGAGGCAAGATCAATATTTGATTAGAGCCTGCCTTAGCAAATGCAGAAGAACACTCATTCCTCATTCAGGTCCACGACCAAATACACAGCAGGCGATGACACTATTCAGTAAGTGAGAAAACAATCAGCCAGAAGTGATTTTTGCCTTCTAAGGGGGATATGTGTAGGATGTGTGGTGATGGCACAAAGAACTTGTCCCACATCAATGTTGTGGTGAGTAAAGGAGTCAGGGGAGATTTGAGAGCTGCCCTTTGTTTGAGGTGAACTCAGTGAACTCAGTACTGGTACAAATAGTAGAACTTTTTCAGACAGGACAGGGAAAGGGGGCAGAACTGAGAGTAAGATGTACCTGCATGTGCTCAATTCCAATCCACCAATCTTTATCTTTTGTGGAAAATCAGTAATGGGAAACCTCACTAAATGCAGTCAGGAAGCCGGCAGTGGGAGCAACTCATGCCCTACCACTCCCAGTCAACTGCAGTCCCAACAAGAAGAGAGAGAGACTTGATCAAGGGAGTTGCCCTTGCACATGAACACAACTGTACTACTCCAGACAGAGTAAAATATGCTTGTTTTAAGTCCCTGGAGCAACAGCCCAGCCAATGGAAAGCACTACACTTCTAAGTCCCAGTTTACTCCATTGGACTTTTAATTTAAAACAGCCCTCCCAACTTACCCCTTTTCTCCTTAAAAATGTACCTGTCCTTTGTTCCCTGGACTTGCCTATAGTTTTGCCACAGCTTGGTTTTCCCAGATTGTAATTCTCTTTATTCCCGAAGAAACCCAACTTTGCTGGTGAAATAACTGGCAGGTTACATTTTTACAACTAACATTCCTTGGTGACACATGTAGGGATCCAAGGAAGATCCCCAAGGCCTCTTACTCTGGTGGGCAAGCAGGTGTGGTATCCATGGAGGTGTTTGGGTTCACTGCTTTCTCACCAACCATAGGGTTTGAGGGTAAGCTTTTCTCCTGGACTTCCAGCTCCATGCTTTTTGTCTGTGATTTCTTTCTTTCTTTTTTTAGATCTCTGAGAGTATTCATTTGGCCTTTGATTCCTTCTCAGAATCAAACTGTTCCTAACGGAACTCCTTTCTCGTTTGGTCTAATTCCTTTTGGGATTGGACTGCTCCTGTTGGAAAAGTACCAGTTTGAACTGCATTGGTCTTTGGTCCTATTCTGCTTTGGGATTGAACTGTTCCTGTTGGAATGGTACCATTTGGGGCTGCATAGGCCTTCTGTCTAAATTCTTTTCGGGATTGGACTGTTGCAGTTAGAACTGTGCCAGTTGTAAATGCACTAGCCTTGGGTCCAAGTTCTGTTTGGTACTGGACTATTCCTCTTGGAACCTGCTGGCCTCTGGTCTGAGTCATTCTGGAACTAGGTTGTTCCCGGAAAACTGCTAAAGAAAATGGGATCCCCTGCAAGAAAACGCTTCGTGACACCCCTCCCCTTTGGGACTATGGCTCATTTTATGTTTAAAATCTATGGTTGTTCTGTAGGCACATTCCTAACTAAATGGACCACCTTAAACAAAAGCATTTCAGGACTTGTTAACCTTAAAAGTAAAACTGCCAGTTAATTTACCAGGAACAGATGCATACATTCAAGAGTGAAGAGAACTGCAAGTCAGGAAAATCAAGCTGCAGAAAACCTGGAGACAAGTCCAGGGAACAAAGGACAGGTATGCTTTTTTAAGAAGGAAGGGGGAAGTTGGGAAGGCTTTCATAAATTAAAAGTCCCTTGGCATAAACTGGGTGTCTGAAGTGCAGTGGCTTTTCAGTGGCTGAGTGTTGCCTGGGGGGAAAAGGAAAGTGTCTCTATTTCTGGCTGGTATAGTAGAGTAGTATCCATGGGCAAGGTCAAATCCTTCTAAGGTCAAGTTCGTCTCTTCTTGTTGAGTCTGCAGTTGAGCCTGCAATTGAGTAGGAGTGGTAGGGCATGAGACCTTTCCCTGCAGACACCTCCTGATTCCATTTTTAGTGAGGTTTTTTGTTACAAACTTTCAGAAACTTCAGTGGCCATAATGGGGGACTTTCAATATCTCCAAACTTGGTTTACTCCAAATTAAGTTAAAAAACTGTTTCTTCTTGAAAGAAGATAAAATCAAAACAAAAAAAGAATGAGATGTCTATTTTAAATGGTACCTTGGGGCACCTGGGTGGCTCAGTCGGTTAAGCGTCCAGCTTCGGCTCAGGTCATGATCTTGCGGTTAGTGAGTTCGAGCCCCGCATTGGGCTCTGTGCAGACAGCTCGGAGCCTGGAGTCTGCTTTGGATTCTGTGTCTCCTCCCCTCTCTCTGCCCCTCCCCTGCTCATGCTCTGTCTCTCTCTGTCTCTCAAGAATAAATAATCTTAAAAAAAAATTTTTAATGGTAACTTGACTCTTGCAGATGTGTTTGGATTCTGTTTGCCCCTTTGGAAAGTACTGTTTCTAAATTCATTGAGGCACACAATTGAAAGAGGCAAAATGATGGGGCACCTGGGTGGCTCAATCGGTTAAGCATCCGACTCTTGGTTTTGGCTCAGGTCACGATCTCACCGTTGGGAGGTCAAGCCCAGAGTCAGGCT